TATGGTATCTTTTATTCACAAGTGCGATAGTGTCTGTGTGTGCATGAAGAGCACTGACTAAAGCTATGTGAGTTACTGTTGGCGTGTTTCTAGCATCTCAGGAAAGGCAACTTCTCAACAAGGTAATTTGATCTTTTGGGGAGTCTTTGCTGCACCACTGAAGTATTCCACCAGTGAAGACTTCTGGAGAAGTCATAAGAGGAAATACTCACAAGTGACCTCCAGAGCAAGATACTCCTGTTGGAAAGTTGAGTCGTCTAAGATCTGATTTTAAGAGGTTCTGAATACCTTCTAGAAGTTGCTTCCTAAAGTGTCTGCACATCAGCACCCTACATATTTTAAACCAAGCATGCAAAAACACAGCATGGAGGGGCACTCTTAAATGTGGTGGCCTACATGACTTCCTTGTAGTCACTTGGCAGTGCAATAATAGAAATAGGAACATAGGCTTTCATATGTCTATTGTGTCCATTAGAACAATACTGCTGAGAGCAACTGAGACCAAAGGCCTGGCCTTCAAAATACGTGACTTGAAAGGAAAGCTGCATTTTTTTGGTAAGGTCCAAATGTATTTCATTCGGCTTTGCTGCTACTCCCAAAGTTTGGTTGTAAACAAGTATGATTTTTACCCTGGAAGCCACACATCTGGATTGCAGTGCCTGTAACTGTTTTCATCATCATGAGTAGTTATTGGCTTCGTAATGTTCTGCGTGTGCAGAAAACAGCTTGTAAGAGGTAACCTGAGCAAACTCTTGTTTTATAATTGAAGAGCTTAAATGTCTTAAATCACCAGTCTGCAAGGTAGCCACAGCCATTAACTTTCTATATATGATCCTGAAGTCTTAAAATTCTGCATTTCTAGCCCTGCAGAGTTCTTCTGATTCTGACTGCTCCCTATCGAATTTCCATGCTGACTCTTTGTCCAGATAGGTCAACTGTCCAAAGCAATGATGTACCAACTACTTTCATGGGAGATGAGTGTGAACCTGAGTAGAGCTCAACTGTAGGTATAAACTTTTTTGTAGCTACACAGCAATAAAACCTTGAAAATAATTTCTGTACATCATAAATATAGTGATGTAAGCTGTCGGGATTATCAATACTCAATGCGAAGTCACAAAATAATGTTGCACCTGAATAACTTCTGTTCAAGTAACAGGTTGTTTTCTCGCTGCACAGTTGGCATATCCTGGTGTCTTTGGATTCTGCATTGTGGATGCTGAATGTATTTGAGTTAATATTTAAAATGTTCTATGTCCCTTATTCCAGCCTCAGTTCCCCAAACCATGACAATGCAGGTGATCACAGAAAAGCCACTGGAACAAATAGCCACTGACTTCCAGTATGGACAAGGAACCACAGAAAGGGACAGGGAACTCGGAGACTTCCAATTTGTGTGCAGTTGAGAGAAAGCAGGAGTTTGGGGGTACGTGGCTGCTGACAGAATGAGAAGGGGACATGAACTGTTCACTCCAAAGGACTGAGGACAACTAGAGAAGGCTACATTTGTTTGGAGGAACTGACAGATTTCACTGCTTCTCTGCCTTCCCTTCCACTTCTCGGAAAGGTCATCCAAAAAGCCTTCCCAAACTTCCAAGCATGGTGGTAAGGTCCTCAGTGTGGAAGAGTAAAATAGAGTGCTTTTGCTGCAAATTTGCTGTTACCTTCTGCTCCTAAATTGTTCCTACTCCTAGTTAAACCTGTGGCTTGCCAACTGACTTCAGTGTAACTTGGGGCTGATTATCTCATGTTCCCAGTTTCCTTTACACTTGCTGGGCAATTCTTTGCTCTCCCAAGCAGAGGTATGGACAGAGCCATAGAACAGTCAGTCACTAACCACATCGCTTCAAGCAAACAAATAGGACTGTGCACTCCCAATCTGAGTAATGCCGTGATGTGGCATTGTTTGAAGCTCTGCAGACTCACTGATAGCGCAGACAAGGCAGGCTGTAAAGGGCAGAGACAGAGATGTTAACGTATGTTCACCTGGCATTCTCGTACCCCTCTTCTGACGGGGTATCTCTGTTGACCCATTTCATAAATCATTAATAAATGATACTCCTGAATACATCCTTTCTCTGTATCTTCTCCAGCACTAAGGATTAATTTTGCATGAGTCTATGCATTTACCCTGTTTTTTTATTTTACTCTGTTAATTTCAGCAGTCATAGAAATTAATCTCTTGGCCTGATTTTATGAATGATGTTCCACATTTATTACATATTACGACCTTTCTGGATGATATAAAGCCCAGTCTAGGGATCTGTCTTTGGTTCTGTCTAACAGTATTTTTCTTCTCTAAAGAACAATCTGTTGCAGTATATAGATACCTGTAATTTACCTCCTTTTTTTGAGTTTGAAGTAAGATCATGATTAACATTTTATATGAAGCAAGGTGGTGAACAGAAGAGTTCATTGACTTTGCAACCCTGGAATAATCCAAACACTGGTTTACATTCCAAATAAAATATTTGGTGAGTTTCACACCAGTCTTTACCAGTGCGTATCACAATGTTGCTGTTGGGAAAAACCTGAATTTATTAAGGCAGTATATTTTAAAAATTGGCTCCAGCACCACACAGCTGGCAACAAGGAAAAAATAATCTAAGGCAGCATGTAAAAAACTTGTTCTCTAGTTAGACTGTGAATTTTCCAATAACTGCCTCCAATAGACCACCCTATGACACTGATTGCAAACATATAAAGCCTGATTGTTTCCAAAGTCATATAAATAAAATGTAGATGTTGAAATGCCAACCTCCCACTATTCGCCTCCAACCTCTTCTTTTCATCTCTTACTGCTTATTTTGCTTTTTTCTTTCCTGGTGTCCTTCCTCTCCCTGATGTTTTCTTTCAGTACCACTCCCTCTTTTCCTCTCAGAACCGAGTGGAGCTTCTAGCTTTAATGGCAGAATAGGAGCCAACACACAATGAAAAGAAGCTGGGGTGGCAAATTGTGTGAGCACACCAAGCACTCAAGAAAAGAACAGTGCAGGTTATTTGTGTGTGCGCACAACTGCACATGCCACACACCTGGTACCAACCTGAGCAAACCAGCGTATCATTGGAACAGTAATTCTCTAAAGTATGAGCCTAGCTCAGTATGTTTTATTGTGTTATCGGTAGCCATTAGTTTTACAACTTGGAACTGTTCTAAGATCTCGTTTTAATCTTTCACCTGACATGCCTTTGCTTTAAATAAACAGGACTTAATAATCAAAGAGAAAAATACCTGGGGAAGTACAAAATGTAACTGGGATGAAGAGGTTTTTGGACTCTAGCAGTGTGTTTCTTGATTTTGAGCATGATGATGTAGAAGTGCTTCAAGCCATATATGAAAATAACTGAAAAATCTTCTCCTACCTGAAAGCGGCAATAAAAGTAACTTATTTTAAGCTGCTGCAGTCAATCATTGTTACATCACTACAATGAATCCCATTGAAGGGGACTGACAAAAGAAAGGGAGTACCAATTTTTTGCCTTGAGACTTGCGAGCATATTGAGGAGGCCAGGACAAGACCTGAGCTGCTGCTAACACCAGCCTGTGGCAGTGTACCACACGCTGACTGCTCTCTGCTCTCACTGAAGCTTCCCAGACAAAACCCTGGAGGAAGCCGCGATTACACACTGTTTGAAGGCCAGGAGAAAGATGTGTAAACAACTCAGTAGATTTTTGAGGCATCTCTTCTTGTCCTCTTGGAAACACAATATTTTTGCAAGGACAGGCTACTCATTCCTCAGAAAAGAACTAACTATGAAAACAGGAAAAATAGTAGACTAATTAACGTAGATCACTGAAAAACCCAAGAAGCTTTCGCTCCTGTTGTCTTGAACGAAAATACATCAAGTGCTTTCTGTTTTGTAACGTGCTTTCTGTAAATGATGTTAACTAAAAGACAACGTTGGTGTGAGGACAAGGCTGTTTTAACAAATAAACTTGAAAACCAGCTGGAACTCAAATATAGCTGTATGGCATGAATATGTAGTGAAACAAAATCTGTAAAATTTAGTGCTGTGCATCAGACATAGTTCTGACAAGCCATTGATCTTGCACTTCACAAGGTGAGCTGCAGTACAAGGTGAAATGGGATGCTTCTCAAGGATTTCTGCAGTTCCTGCTCCCAGTCCCTCTATCCTTTAAATTATCTTCTGAAAAAAAAACCCCAAAACGGAAGCATGTGTCAGTAAGGATACATGCTTCTGTTTTAAATTTGTCATTTCTTTGGCTATTTGGGTCAGTGACAAGTTTTTTTAAGTGTCTCTTGTTGGAGCTAATTAGTGTGAAATGTACTACAACTTTATCACTGTTTTCCTTACTAAAAATTAAGCAAGTCGATAAGAGTTCCACAAAACCATAATTAACTTTCCCTTTGAGAACAAAAAGGATGCATTTTAAAAATGTTTTTATTGCCTTAGTACTGCATGTTACACAAAAATGTCTTCCACAGCAAAACACACTAAGACAGGGATGAGTGCAAACCAAACAGATCAGAAGGTAAATTATCTATGAAACCACTTATTTCAATGCAACAGGGAACAGTAATAAAAGTTTCGAAACAGCTTTTCCTTCTCTGGAGAATACAGAACTCTTTTTTCTCTATTGCAGCTCCCAACATAGGTCAAAGTATTGCACTACACTGAGATTTCAATTCTTTCCCTCCCAAAGAGACCTAAACATTGTCCCCAACAGCACGTTTATTTTGTTGGAATAGAAGAAAAATCTAGTCCTGAGAAAGACTGCAACCTAGTCTTGCCAAGGCAATAGCTATGCAATGTGCTCTCTTCAGATGCTGGACAGAAAAGTAAGAAGAACTTGGAACATAAAAATATGGATTCCACACCACGACTACTTCTTAGATCTCTATTCCAATCAGTTTGTACTGACTTCCAAGACCATAACTTCTCCAGGAACACAGCTAACATGAGCACTTTACTTAGATGCTTCAACAGAACTACACAAATCTTACGTTCTGTCAGGCTTTCTTCTCTTAGCACCTCTACAAAAAGGAATTCTGAAGTCATGACCCATACCTTTATCTTTTGGTCCACACTAACATATTAAACAATGCCTTCCTGTACCTCTGATGCCAAATGAAACCAAAGTGCAGCTAAAGTTACCCAAATTCCTGGATGTGCAGCCATCTCTGGCACCACAGTTCATCTGATGTCAGCACTTGTTTATAGGCTGAAGTGTTTATAGGCTGGCAAATTCTCATTGTGAAGACCTGTTCACAGGCTAGTATAGCTTACAAAGTGAAAATAATAATTTTTCTTCCCTGTTTGGTATTTCTTTTAATGTTACGAGATAATTGACATTTCTTCCCTCTCTCTGCTCTCATTTATTAACGTGATAATGCTTCTGAAGTATTTCATAAATTCCATCCGAACATCTTCAGGATCTTCTTCTAAGTTGGAATGTATTAGTTTTAGCTTGTTCAGTGGGTAAGCTTTGAAGGTAAATAAAAAATAATTAGGTATATTCCTTTTATAAAAGAAATGTTCACAATCAAGGTCAAAGGACAGCTCATGCTGAAGTCAGTTGGAATTCAGTAGTACCCAATGTTTGAAACCCCAGATAACATATAAGATGTGAAAAAATGCATCATAGCTTGTTAGCATTACAAACAAATACAACTTGTTGCTAGATTAAATTCTTCAAACATTATTATTAAAGGTTAAAGTACTGGTTTTGGTCTCACATTCAGTTAGGCAGAATCAAACAATTCAGCACTGAATTGCAATCTTACTATTGAAGTCATACGTCATTCTTTGATTACTTCAAAATTACAGAACGATATTGTTATATTAAATATGTATTAATATATTAATACTTATTATAAACATGTATTTGTTTGAACACCAGAACAGGTTGCCTAGAGGGAGTGTGTGTTCTCATTTGTATAAACAGCCACAAATAATTTTGCAGTATATAAGGTATCTATTACTAATTTTAAGAGGAAGATTGTTAGCCTTTTATTTCAAAACGCTCCTATTCTTTTGATTGATAAAATGGCCTCAAAAGCATCAGTTAGCAAGAGATAAAATTCAATGTAAGAAACAAACTACTAGTGATGTCAAAGTATGGCAGGGGGTTTAAAAAAAAGCTGCATACTCATTGTGTGACCTTAGAGAAGTCACTCAAACTTTTCTTGTCTTTACTTTCCCTTTTGTGAAATAGGAATATTGCACACCTTCTAGATGACCTTTGAAATTCATTATTTCTGTTTCTGCAAAGCACTCTAGTATTCTTTGATTGGCAGATTTAAATGAAAAATGCAGGCCATAAGGTATGAACAATTTTAAAGATACATAGATCAATAAAAACCTGTGAGTTACAGATTGAGTTTTCCATCTTCTTACCCAAGGAGAGATTTTCTGTGTCCCCTGCGCTGCCTGGCTTGTGATGTGCAACTAGGAGACACTGACTATCAAGCAGTGGCTGCTGCTGCACGAAACAGGAGTACCACATTTCAATTTCTTTCAGGTGACTGGGCAGCTCAGGATTGAAGATTATTATTACGCCATGAGAGTCCTTCATCAGAGCTGGCCAGCATGTTTCAAACCTTGAAAAACAGGGGCATGGAGAATGGTAAGATTGATAGCTGGAAAACAGAAACATGCACTCAAACTTCCTCAAGTTTTCTTCTTCTGTCCTCAAGAACGCATTTCAGTACTTTATTATAACATTATTAATCTTGCCAGTGATCTATCGTATTCCAAGTATTTTTACTTACCTATTATGTTAATTGGTCCCATGATTTGCTGACAATATGGTATTTGGTCAAATGCTTATTTAAACTTTTTCCCTAAAAATGGATCTATCCAGTTCTCAACTGTAGCACTGGGAAATTAAGGCCTCAATCATACATATACATTGTTTGAAGTCCACTCACATAATAACTTCAAGGAAATAAAGGCAATTACAGAGTGGGCTTCTGTGTCCCGTACCTGTAACTTCATTCTAGGAGCTATGGACTTTACTGTTACACTCAGCCCTTATCCAAAACAAAGTTCAGTGTCAGCTGGGATGATGGCAGAGAGTACCTAGTATCAGATGCTTTATAGCAGAAAGCTATTAAAAAATGTAACGGGGTAAAGAGTTGGGAATATTCCTCATCTCAAAAAGATCATTGGTTTTAGGCCTTAAGTATGAATATTTTGTGTAAACAGAACTATTACGAATTAAGTAACTTGGAGGAAGTGACAATGATGCTGTCTTACTTTTGATCACCACTGCAATCCCACAGCTCAAATCGACACCCAGCTCCCTTGCTGTTCCCGTTCAAGTTTGGCTTCTCATACTCCAGGATCCTGTGAAAACGAGTGGATATACAATGTGATACCATGCTACCCACCACCGCAAGCAGAGCGCGGGACGTTCCGAGGGGCAGGCAATTGTCAGGGGGCTGGTTCAGTCAACATGCCGCAAAGTCTCGCTCACCTTACACCTTGCGTCGGGCTGTAGCTGCCAATCCCTTCCGTGCTCTCCGAAACAAAGTTTGCCAACACCGATTTTCCAGACTGGCAGAAAGTGGGAGTGAGACACCCGTAGGAATTTAATGTGCCAAAGTCACGACGAAGAGAAGAGCACGGTGTTTATCCAAGCACCCTGCTCTCCCTCCAGCTAAGGCCCCTGTGCATGCAGGCCTGCCCCCTCCTCCCTCCC